CTAGGAGACTATAGCAGGATAAATACCCACCCTTCCCCCAAGTGACCTGGACAATAGCTCTGTCCTTTCACAGGCCACCCGGTCTTTGAAGGATACACCCAAGATCCAGACTCCTCCCAACTTGAGGAAAAGAATGGGCAACAGAGGGGGAACTCTCCGAACACCTCTGCTGATGGGAAGTGGGAGGAGGGAGCCTCACCTCACGGGCAAGGTTTCCTACAGAAAGGGTGGCAGAGGGCCAAAGCCTGTCATTGCTCCTGGCAGGAATGGGGGCCACAGATGTCCACCTCTCTTAGGAGCTGCCTGACCCCAGCATCAGCCCAGCCTACCGTGGGGAGAGCGGGAAAGGCAAGGCTACCTCCATCTCTGAACCTTGAGCTGTCGCACTTTGCTACCCACAGCTGAGAGCCGGGGTCACCAGGCCCCCCTAGCCCTGCCCAAGAAGGAGGGAAATGGCCGATTCCTGCTGGCTCACAGCCACACCTCTGCTCCCAGAGAAGGGGAAGATGAGGGAGACGCTCAGAAGCTGGGGCTCTGGGTAGGAAGAGAAATTGTTTTTGTTTACTAGGAGAGGGCAGGGAAACCCACAGGCTCACAGAGGGAGGGGGCAGGAAGGGGGCATTGCCTAACCTGGGTGGGGAAAGCCAGAGAAGGCTCCACTTGCCCGAAATGTGGGCACCCCGCCCTGGGGGGAGAAGCTTACCAGGGTGGGAAGCAGGGGACCCGGAAGCCCTCCCCACCCACCTCTAAGAAAGAGGAAGAAGCTTGCAACATTCAAAGAGAGGGCAAAACATTTGCTCATCAGGCCTAGGACAGGGCAAGGACAGGGGCCAGGCCAGACCCCTCCAACCCTCGTGAGTCCAGGCCCCAGGTGGACAGAGTGTCTGGGGCTCTGTTTCCATCACCTGGGAAAAACAGGTTGTCCACCGGCATCAGTCTGCGGGCCCCTAACTTCTCCCTCCCTAAAAATCCCACCCTGGCAGGAAACAGATGCTCCATTTACCTGAGCTGGGATATGAATCCCAGTCCCTGAAGAAGCAGCACCTATCACACCCAGATCCCAGGAGGGACAGACACATACACTCATTCCCCAGCCACCCTGAACCCAGAGCCTGGCCTCCCCCATCGCCCAGCACAGCCTGAAGACCAGGCCACAACGATGTTCCCCTACTCCCAGGTCAAGACGCTGCCCACTGCACACTCTTAAGGGAGGAAACAGAAGGTGGAGGTTTGAGTAGGCCGCAGCCACCTGCCACCTGCCCCCTGCCCAGGGCTTAAAGGGTGGGGACCTAAAGGAGAGCAGACTTCGAGCCCCTGCTCCCAGCAGCTATTGGGGCTGGGAGGGAGGGGGCCACCGTGCAGCCAGAGGAGGCAATCCAGGAAGCAGTGGTGGCGGTGGGCAGAAGGCCAGTGCGGGCAGTGAGGCGCCCAGCCAGGGCCTGCCCCTGGGACAAAGAGACTCCCTGGCTCCGGGCAGAGTGCACTGCCCCCATGCTGAGAAGGGAGCGCTGACCCAGCCTAGCCAGGCACATGGGGCAGCAGTGCAGGCCGCTTGCCAGTGGCCATAGGAGGGGTGGCGGGTGCCTGGGGCCGGGTGTTCAGTCCCTGCCCGCCAGGAGAGGTGGGACACGTTTCCCAGGTTAGCAGCTGACCAGCCAGCCCGCTGTCCGCGGCCCCTTCTGCTGCTTCCACCCCCTCCCGCCCGGGGCCAGGCCCCGGCTCCCTCCTCCCCCAAGAGCTGGCCTGGCGCCCAGCTGGGCCCTGGGGGCCAGAGTTACTGTAAGCGGCCTGGCAGGCCCGAGGCCCGGACTCTGCCAGCTGGCCATAGCTGCAGCCACCTCCCACTACCTGGCTCGGCCAGCCAAGGAAGGGTACCGAGACCCCCATCCAGCCAACAGGCGACCCCCATGGCAGAGGGCGGAGGCAGAGAGAAAACACAGCCCTGACAAGAGCAGACTTGAGTCCACAGCCAGAGTCCAGGCTGAGCGCCCCCTCCTGGGACACTCACCCCGTGTCCACCAGGCTGCCTGGGGCCCCTCCCTCTCACCTTCCCCACAAAGGGAAGTACCACCCAGGCTGGCCAGCAGCTGGCAGGGCAAGGGGAGGGGGTTCTGCTTCTTCAAGCCTCTTCCCTCAGAGGTACTGGATGGGGTGGGGCAGAAGTGGGGTGCTTCTCTCAGTAGAGCTGCCATTTCCACCAAATGTCGAGAGGTTTGTTTACCCGCCTCCAGCCTGTGTCCACTTCTTGGAGCTATTTATAAGGCCCTCGACAGCAGAGCATAGGGAGGGGGTGCAAGGGGCACCGCGGGACAGCACTGTCGCATCACTCCTCTGCCCCCCAACATCAGACACACCACCTTGTAGATCAGCCTATCAGCCTTTCATCCTCGAGCCCCCAAAGAACGGTCCCCCTTATCTAGGGAAGACCTCGCTGCTACAGCAGAACCGAAGTGCCCAGAGGCCCAGCCCCAGGCCTGCCTCCCTCCACAGCCCTCTCCCACCCCCTCCCACAGCGCCAGCCACCCCACTTACTGGCCGGGGATGGCGTGCTATAGCCGCTAACCGGAAGCTGGTGCTGGAGAGTGGTCAGAGCGCCTGGTGGGGAGAGTCCACCCAGCATGGGGGGGAAGAAGAAGGCGTAGGGGGGCACTGGGTAGCCATTGAGGTGCCCTCCCCCAGGTGTTGGACAGGAGCTGCTGTTGCTGGCCATGCCAAGCAGCCACAGTCAGAAGTGCAGGCAGACAGTCTGGAGAGAGGCTCTGGCGGGCTTCAGGCCGCCTCTCCTCGGGGCATGGGGCCTGGGCCCAGAGGGGGTTTGGGTGGTCAGCCCACCCCCTCTTCTGTCCTGGAGCTGCCGTCCAAGGCTAGCAGGCTAATCTCAGCCTCCTGGAGCCCCCACTCTAGCTGGGGGCCAGGTGGGCTGGGGGACGTCCCAAGAGCTGGTCCTGTGGTCTCGGAGATCCGTGAGCTGGCACTTTCCCGGGAAGGTCCAGAGCTGGCCTTCAAGGCGCCGAAAAGGATGCTGTCCTAGATGGGCCCCGGCGAAGCAGCTACGGGGGCCATGTCCTGTGGTGCTGTAGAATGAGGAAAGACAGGTGAGTGGGCACCAAGGAATGGGGCTCACGGGCATTCCCCGTGGACCTCCCCAACCTGGGCGGCCAGAGATTTTCCCGCGGCACCCGGCTGAGCAGACAGCTGGCACCATGCCTGGCTGGCAGAGACGGCCTGGGAGCAGGGCCCAGACACTGTTGGGGGTGGTAGGCCAGCACTGCCAGGCTAGGGAGACAGGGACAGAGCCCAGGGCCGAAGTCCTCTCACTCACAATCCTGAGCGGAAGGGGTCCCCAGTGCCATGCCACCCCAGAGGATTCCTGCAGCAAAGGAAGGCAGCTGGCCCTCCTTCCCCTAAAGCGGGTTACCTGAGGTCAAGATGCAGAGAACGTGTGCTTGAGGGGAGGAGGGAGGAGGAAGAAAAGCCGCTTCCCTAAAGCACTGGCACTTCTCAGAAAAATGACTCCTAAGCCAGGGGGCCCTTCTTACACCACTTCCCCCCCAAATCCAACCAGAGCACCCCAGATGGGTTTGTCCCACAGGCCCAGGGAGGAGGCCCGATTACATACACACAAATAAGGAAAAGGGAACCGAGGACTCCTGGGTACCACCTCCAATGCTCAACAGCATGATTGGCCAGGGGTGGGCAGTGGGCTAGGAGGACAGGGACTGCTGGGCGTGGAAGCCCCCTACCCCCAGGCAAGGGAGACTTATCTCAGAGTTCACTCACATACTCTGCAGAAGCAACATCCTTGGAGAGGTGGGAGGTAGGCAGAAGATGAAAGGCCAGATGCCCCCCCCCTCCAGTGTGCACACAGATCCACACCCTGTTTGAACAGCTGGGACCAGAGGACATGCATAGATAACAACATGGGTAGCAAGAAACAGAGATGAACCCAGAAATTTCCATGGCACAATGAGACAGACAGCAACAAGAGCAAAGAAAGAGATGGAGAAAGAACTATCCACAAAACGATGCTTCAAATCCACTTGGGGTATAGGAGGATATATGTAAATAAATACAGATGCATGTATTATATATGAGATGCATATATATACACATACATATATGAATATATGACACATGAAAGACAAAGAGACAGACAAAAATATGGCCAATCAAAACCACGATGAGATACCACTTTACATCCACTAAGATGGCTACAGTCAGAAAGACTGATATTAACAAGTGTGTGAGGATGTGGAGAAACTGAAACCCTTACACATTGCTGGTGGGAATGTAAAATGGTGCAGCTGCTTTGGAAAACAGTACGGCAGTTCCTTAAAAGGTTACACACAGAGTCTTATGATCCAGCAATTCCACTCTTAGGTATCTACCTAAGAGAAATGAAAACACAAGTCCACACAAAAACTTGCACGTGGATGTTCATACCAGCATTCCTGACAGCCTAAAAGTAGAACTGTCCCAAATGTCCAGCAGCTGATGATGGAGAAATAAAATGTACATCCATCCAATGAGATACTATTCTGCCATAAAAAGGAACAAATACTGATCTATACACTACAACGTGGGTAAACCTTGAAAACATTCTGCTAGTTGTAAAAGACCACATATTGTATGATTCCATTTATATGAAATGTCCAAAAGAGGCAAATCTATAAAGACGGAAAGTCAATTGTGGTTACCAGGCACTGGGACAAGGGTTTGAGAGAAATGGGAAGTGCCTGCTAGTGAGTATGGGGGCTCTCTTGGGAGTGATGAAAATTTTCTTAAAGTGATTGTGGTGATAGTTGCACCATTCTGTGAAAATACAAAATTCTCTCTGAATTGTACACTTTCAGGGGTGAATTTTATGGTATATGAATGACATCTCCATTAAGCTGTCAAAAAGAAGACAGAGAGAAAGGAAGGGAGAAAGGAAAGAAAAAGAAAACAAAAGAAGAAAACAGAGCCACAGAGACCCAAAATAAGGACTGCCTCCCTTTCCAACCCCTTCCTCCCCAAGCTCAGGCCATACCAGGTTCCAAGCTCCAGGCTCAGACCTGGAATCCAGGGGACACACACACGGCCAGTATTTGGCCGAGGACCATGCCTGGGATGGGGAGTTCTGCCAAGGCCACTGTGGATGAGGCCAGGACTTCTGGGCCCAGCTCAGCCAGCCAGCCAGCCTGTGCCTGTGAGGGGCTGAGGGAGGGGAGGCGGGGACAGGTACTTGCTAGGGAGGGGGCAACTCCCCTAGGAGAGAAATCTGGACCTGGTTAATGACCATGATTTTTCACTGTTACTAATTATGACAACCATAGGGCCTCTCTCCTTATTTCTGAGTGAGGTGCCCCCTTCCCTCCCCGGGCCCCTGCTGATTCCCTCCCAGGCCGGAGAGAGGCTGACGTCAGAGAAACAGGGGCCCCACCCATCGGGCCAGCTGCCGCCCTGGCTCCCCCAACCCCTGAGGGGCCCCCACACAAGGGGAACTCGAGCCAGCAAGGGAAGGAGGGGCTGCCTGAGCCTCATTGGCGTTGACAGTCAGACCCTCTCTCACACACACACACTCACACACACACACTTGCAGAAACTCACATACGCAGGTCTATGGAAAGCATCCGGTGGGCAAGAGCACTTCTGCACGCCCAGCCTGTGTGTGTGCGGGCGTGCACGTGGCACGTGAGGAGAGGGAACCTGGGGGTGCGACCTTTCCACACCAGGGCTCCACACACAGTGAAGCCGGCTCCAGGCCTGCGTGCACAGTCCGGGACACAGCTCCCCACAGACACACAACCACAGCCCCACGGTTTCCCAAACTGCACATCCCCTGGCCCTCACCCAGCCAGGCTGGCCTCCGCACCTGCCTCCTTGCCGACCCAGGGTCCAAATATGCACAGAGGTGCACCCTCTGAGAAACAGTCGGGTGGATTCAGGTCCACCCAGGGGCCCGCTCCCTGAAGTGAGGCCCGAGGCCGAGGCCCAGGAAGCTATTCACTCCAGACCCCATACATACTGACCTGGCTTTGGAGGGGTGGGGGCAGATTCAGTCTGGACCCTCTGAAGCCCACCCTTGACCTTAGAGGAGAGATTAACAGCAACCACCTCAAAGCCTTAACTCTGCTCCCAAGTAGTTTGAAACTGGACCATACTTAAAATCTCGCCCACAGATACACACCCCAGGGAGAGGCTGGAAGGCCCCCCTCCCCCTCCCCCATCAGAGCCTCACTAAAGGAGCTCTCAGCCTGCAAACTTCAGTGCAAAGTTACTCAGCTCCCCAGGGGCAGCCTTGAGCCAAGGGAGGGGGTAAAGGTCACAGAAATGGGCCAACGGCCAGACTGGCCAAGGAACAGGGATGGGCAAGGGCAGGGATGATGGGGGCGGGGCCAAAGAGCACAGGCCCTGCCTCAGAAGGCCCCTCTGGAACCATGACCCCTGGGGAGATGCCTGGGCCCTGGCCCCCTGCACCCAGGGGTAGAGAAGACACTGTCAGAGAATCGAAACCAGCACCAAAGAAAGGGAAAACAAATTACCCACATCCAACCTCCACCCTATGCCTGCCACCTCCACTGCCCATGGGCACCCTCGTCGGAGAGAAAAACCACAGGCCCGTACCTCCCACATTCGGAGCCCATGCTAGGCACGGGGAGAAAGAGGGGTGGGATGGGGGCTGCCACCAGCCATGCACCCCTGTCCTCTGGGGCCTCCCTCACCCCTAAAAGGTGCCAGGATCCCTTCTCCAGGGTCAGGCGTTCGTTATGTCCCCAGAGTCACACCCTGGGGAAGAAGCAAGAGCTGACTGAGCTATAAAGAACCAGCCGTGAAAGAAGCAGAGGTTTGAAGGGTCAAATCTCAGCTCTGCCACTCTGGGTGACCTTAGGCAAGTCACATAACCTCTCTGAGCATCTGTTTACTCGCCTGTGAACTGCCTACCTCAACAACTGGTTATGTGATTTAAGAGATAAAAGTCCTGGAAAGCACCGAGCATAGAGCCTGGCAAATAGGAGGTTCGGGTTGACAGGGTCCCCTCCTCCCCCAAGCCCACCAGCACCACTTGGGTGGCTCCCTGCTCTGTGCCTCACTGGGCACTGTGTCAGCTCTCCCTTCCTTCTCCCAACCAGGGCCAGCATCTGCAGGCTGGGCTGGCAGAAGAATTACCCATTTCCCAGGGTCTGCTCCCCCCCCCAGACTGAGAAGAGGAATGTGGGGTGAGGACTGTTCGGGGTGTGGGTGGAGGCCTGACCACAACCCTTTCCCAAATTCCCTTCTTTCATTTCACAAACCAAAAAAGGGAAACCTTTGGATTTGGGGAGGGGGAGGGGGGAGGAGAAATAGATTATTTCCTCCTGTACCCTCAGGGGAGAGGAGCCAGGGGTCCCCAAACCCAGCTGGCCCAGCCCCCCTTCTTCATCCACTCTCTTCTCTCTGCTCCCTGGGTTTCCCCACAACAACGGGCTCCCAAGGACTAGAAGCCAGGCAGTCCCAGAGGGGCTGAGAGGAGGGGACAAGGATTGGGAGCTTAAAAGAAGGGGAGATGGGGGTTTCCTAAGCATTCTAGACAGTCAATGAATCATATGCAAATGACACCCGAAGCTCAAGCTCAACTAGGGGGTGGGGGGCAGGGACTCCAGACCTGGCAGAGCAAAGACCCGGCCCCTTTGGACCCCCTCCTCTGCCAGGAGCTGGCAGAGCAGGGCAGGGCGGGACAGGGCAGATTTCAAACCAGAACAGTGGGCTGGAACTATTTATAAACTTTCCAGGAAAACGCACTCGCGCGCGCGCGCGCACACACACACACACACACACACACACACAAAACCACAATGTCTCCCTTCCCCCATCCTCCTCAGATCAGCCGACTGATGAACACTACTCCCTTTTCCCCTTTTTTCCAGGGGCCCCTCTCTCCTCTCCTCAAAAGGCAGGCGGCCACTCGGGTCTTCTGTTTACCTTTTGCTCACCCGGCTCTGGGCTGCAGGAAGCTAGCCAGGCCAGCCTCATTTTGAAAGAGACCACCCCAGGAGGACCTGAGAAGGATCCGTGGGGTGAGGCTGGGACAGGTGGAGGGCATCTCTTCCCCACC